TACCATCATGTTATTCGAAGAAAGGAAAAAATCAGTTTTTTAGATGATAACGTAGCGTTCTAACATCATTTATTTGATATTAAACATTTTTACATCGGATTTTGGTCACTGATTTTTGTAAAAAATAATTTATTATTTTTTCTTTTTGGTCCATTCATTTTGAAGTTCTTGTAACATTTGCGGTGTTAACAAACCTTCTGCCAATAATCGTTCTGTTAATTTACCCTTTCTTATGGGTATAGAGGGCTTACGTTTACGAAATTCATTATTTCCTAAAATATAATATTAATAATAATAAGTATTTATATAATACATACAATGTAATAAAAAATTATCAATACGAGTCACACATATTAGATGTAACAGTAAATTTGGTGTCTTGATATTAAAATATAAATGATTACTTTATGATTACTTTATAAATAAATACTAAATTTCTTAAAAATCACACCGAATTCATTGCTACACTTAATAATTATTAAACGTTAAAAATATAACAACAAATTTTGTTTATTATCATTTCTACTAATGACTAATTTATTACGTAATTAAAATTCTACCTTTATAAAAATTATGTTTCCGTGTTTGTACATAAAATTCATCTCGTTCTGATGCTTCTCCACTGTTCCCTTCTGTGGAATAAAAATAATTCGATATATTATTAATATTTAATATAATATAATATAATATAAAAATAAGAGAGAACAATTATACCAGTCATAGAACTAGTAATTAATTCCTTCAAATGAACTACTCCTCTTTGGATAAATGAGTCTAATTCTTGCTGCACATCTCGTACCATATTAGTATCTGGGAATAAATCTGGAAACCGATAACTGCATAAAAATGCATTAATTATATATTTATGTTTTAAATGAATATTTATAAATCTCTCTATGTATATATTATAAATACCTTAACCAAAGGTATAAATCCATAATGTCAAACACAGCTTCCAAATGAACAAGATCAAGTATAGATTTAGGTGTTGAGAATGGCCAACCAATGTGATCACATAGCCAGTTAAAGGTGATTTTATCATTTTTACTGTATTGACGGGCAAACTATAATAAATAACATTCTATTATTAATCTAATATATATTTCTATATATAGATTATAGTTATTTATATAATTTATCTATCCTGAAGACAAAATATTAGTATTTCTACCTTTAGAAACATAGCGCATGAAAATGGAAGTTTTCTATTAATTGGCGCACAACAGAATACGTATCGTGCACGTAATGGTAAAGAAACATGTTGTATCATGTCAGCGAGGAATTTGAAGTCATCAGTATTGCATATAAAGTATAAAGAATCATCGACTGTAGATAGTGTTATAAAAATATCCTGAAATAATAAATATATTATTTCTTCTTGCTTATTTTCTAGCAATGAATTATATTAATTAATATTATTACCAGAAGATTAGACAATGGTGTTTCTGGTAAATGATAAGCATATAATTCGATTTGATCAGCTGTTGGATGAAGACCAGCTTGAATGATTGGCTCAGGTGTTTGATTGAGTAAATTTTTCAGCGTTGCAAGATCATGTGGTTTATAAGTTGTGACATAGCCCTAAACAGAAAAGTTGCAATAGAAATGTTTCAAATATTAAATGAAAATTACATTTTTGGAGAATTATTATATTACTGTGTTCCATTGCGTGCCATAACGTCCCGCTCTGCCAGCTATTTGCAAAGCCGTTGATACAGAAATTGTATCCATTTCTTTTTCTCCCTTTTCATTCACCATTGGTTGTATTAAAGAGTAAAAAATAATTCTTCTAATATGTCTACATATATATATATATATACATAAACAAAATATATTGTTTATATACAAGTATTTTTATATAAACATTTATAATGTAATATATAAGAAACTTACAAATTTAATCCCATTCCAATTGCATTAGTTGCTACTAATACTTTACAAGAACTATTTGGATCGTTAAATTTAGCAGCTTGCGCAAGTTTTGTTCCCGGTGGTAAACTACCATATATTACAGCAGTTTCTATCCCTTGTGTTTCTAATTGACGTGTAACAGCAAATATGTCATTTTTATTGAAGCAAACTATACAGTCACCACGTTTAATATTTTTCAATGATCCAACTGCTGTATTTTCTACTGTTAACTGTGTTAACCGTTTATATTTGCGAATTTCAGGGGTTTCACCTGTTGTCAGACAAATAGATTTTACCTATAAATAATAATTTTACAATTAACAAATACTCTAAAAAAAAATAAATTAAAAAATAGATAATTACTAAATCTATCGCAGCTGTTTCACCACAAAGATGTATCTCATCTGCAGGAATTCCAAGAAGAGCTCTCGTCCATGCCCATCCTCTGCCAGGATCTCGAAGTAATTGAATTTCATCAATTACTGCGACCTCATCTGCAATGATAAAAAGAATAATTTGAAAAATATACAATAGAAATAGAAATATCACAAAAGAATGATTACATACAAGAAGTATTTAAGTTAACCATTTCCACTGAACAAGATACATGATTTGCAGGATCATCTGGACTACGAGCATATCTTCTTTCTTCTCCAGTAACTAAGTCACAAGGAGTTCCCTGATTAAAAATATAGAAAGAAAGAGAGAGCGAAAGAGAAGAAATTTATTAGCATTATTTTTATATTTTAAAATACTTTGAGAATATATGATCAAATATACTAACCATACTATTACATTTATTATATACTTCTGAAACTAATAACTTTAAAGGTCCACAATATACTCCACTTTTTGCTCTCATAAATCTTTCTAAAGCGTGATGAGTTTTTCCACTGTTAGTTGGACCAGAATGAAATATAATTTTTCGTGTTTTCGCTCTTGCTGAGGGATACCTACAATTCAATTAAAAAAGTAAATTTAAATACAGCGTGTCTGAGGTTTTTCCAGCCAAACGGTGTCAGCGTATTCTATGAATATATATTTGGTCAGAAAAATTTCAGATATCTTATGTATATTACCTTATTTACTTTTTAAAGATTACTTAATAAATGTGTACACTTACCAATTAGCAGGCGATCTGAGATCACTAATTTTTTTAAGATCATCCAAACATTCTATGTGTGGAAACATTTTTTTGGCAAAACGTAAAAAATAGGGAAAAAGATCTGTTATATTTGCAGCATTTTGAAGAATGTCGCTTAAAACAATATGAAGATCAGTCGGCAATGATTGCGATTGAACACAATATTCTCTAAATTCTATGAACGCTTTTTTCTGCAAATAATCTATATAGAAAAGTATATATTTTATTCTATTCAAAAGTACACTCATGTTTATAATAATACTAATAATAATATGAAAGAAATGAGAATCTGAAATAGTATACATACCATCTAGTCCATATTCCAGTGCTAAACTTTTAATTTCTTTGATCTCTATGAATTTGTTTAAAACTATTAATAAATTTGTTTTATTTAAATCACCAGTCAATTCGCTTCCTATATTAATATCATCTGGATTAGACTTTACAGGCACAGGACGAATTAATGTATTTATATTACTTGTATCATAGCAATTGTTTTTATTCCTTTTTCCTCTTTGTATATGGACAATACTTGCTGTTGGATTTAATGATCTAAAAAAAGGAAGACAAATATAAGTCTTCTTTGACAAATAATTAACTAAATGTACATATATATACTTTAATTAATGTAGGAAATTAAATAACTTACCTTCTTAGTAAAATGGATGCTAAAAGAGTACCTCTTCTTATATACTGTTCACAAATAAAATTCTGTATTGGCAACATTCTAACTAATTAGATCTGCAATTATTAAAATGCATAGGAATATAATTATGTTTAAAAACAATGGTAATATTAAAATGTATTTTGCTTACATGAATCACGTGTTATTATAATCTTTGTTTATAGAGTTAAAATGTAGTATTATTATAGAATAATTTTTTAAATATCAATATAGTATAATCACTGTCAGGTTCCTTGATCCTGAAAAAATCATATTTTTATAGGAATTAAGAGAAGTCGTTTCACTTGACAATCTTTTTAATAAAAAAACACAACTTGTCTCAGATCTAGACCTAACCTTCTTGCCCATTCTAAGTATTCGTATACACTATGGTAGCATTTGATCAGCTGTTTTCTAATATACCGTGTTTTTAAACGCAATAAGTAAATACTTAAATAATTGAGAAATTAAATAAGAAATTCGAGAAAATTATTGTCGCGAGAAATTACTTATATTATATATTTTTAAGTATTAAAAATGAACAAAGGCTGTTGGAAATTTGACGAAGAAGACAAGGGTAAGTTAATTATTTTTAGGCTATGTTTCTCTATATTTATAAGAATGAAAAAAAATAATTCAAATTTATTTTTAAATAATTTCATATATATATCTTAGGAAAATAAATCTTTACTTACAAAAATGTTATAAAATTAAAATTTTTCTTAAAGATATGAATTTAAATGTAAATAAAAAAACAGAATCGAGGATCTATTAATTTAACTTTTACAGCATTGTATATAGATTGGGAAGAAGATACAGAAGATGAACAGTCATCCAAAGAATTTAGTTATTGGGATAGATTACCCGATATACTATTAGAAGAAATATTTTCATATTTAACGATACGTGAACGATACTATGCATCTCTTGTATGTCGGTCTTGGTATCACGCATTTCAATTGCAAAATGTATGGTCAACATTTACGTTAGAAGATACAACATTAACGAGAGGAAAATTTAATTATTATAGCGGTTGGCAATATGTTCTGGATCATATCAGAACGTCGACTTGTCTTAACAAAGTTGGAAAAAATTTTCGTACTCTTATATTTGAACCTATGTTAAATTTTTATAATTTATATGAATTTATGAATATGATATCTTGGTATACCGAAAGACAAGGATCAGACAATACCTCTGTAGCAGGTGTAGGCATTAATATTCGAAGGCTCAAGTTTACATTTCCTTGTAATATGGCAAATAGAGATGATCCTGATCGTATTAGACTTTTTGGTACAGGAGGAAAACTACTGGAAGCATTGAAGAGGCTTATGAGAAATTTAAAGAATTTAAAATGTTTAGAATTAATTGATTTAATGCTCGATAGTAAAGAAGCTTTACATTTAATGGACGATATTTGTGAAAATTGTACTCATACTTTATCAAAATTAATATTAATAAATACTACCAGGTACTACTGTCCGTTGTTACATGTAGGAGTATTTCTTAATTTGAATGTAAGTCTTCATAAAAAGAATCTACTTTTCAATACTTTTCAAAACTTTCGACTCTACTTTCAAATATACACGTGTATATTTATTTTTAAAGATTCTTGTTATAAGTCCACAAAATCTTCATGAAGATGTCATTGAATTACTTGGACATACAAGATTAAAACATCTTCATATCTTGCAGAATCGATATAGTCCAAAGGATACAACTGTTAGATTGGTAATATTTAAATAATTACTAAATTATTGAATATTCATAATTTTAAAAAGAAGCAACGTGCTAATAAAAATATCATTCTAGCCAAAAAGAGCAGCGTGGATAAAAATGAGGTCAAATAATCCGTATATAAAAGTACATTTTGAAATAGAAAGTGGTAAACCTACCGATGTACTTTTACCGATAGATCTATTAGAACATAGTGCTGTACCGTGTCATAGTATAGTTATAGACAATCCAAATACACAGGTTAATATAATATATTTCTATATAAAGAATATATTATAATAATTTGTATATATATTTAACCATATTAAGACATTACAGATTTCACCATCATGGATAATCACGCATGGTTCGTTTTTCGATTCAACGATTCGAATTTATGCATTCAAGGGAATAACAAGATATTATTTGCATAAAAATTTTTCTAAAAGATTAGACGAAGCATTAGTGCAATTCTGCAAAATGTGTCCGAATCTACATACTCTGGTAGCATTTTGTGTTTAAACAAACATTTTCTTGTCATTTGTGATAGCTTTCTTCTTAAGCCCTACATTGATTGATGCTAATTAATGCCTTAATTGTGTGAAGATATGTATGAGAATCTTTGCAGTATGAAAGACTTTCTTACTGAGTTAGAGTGTAAGTTCTCTGTAACAAAATTTCCTATCCTTAAAACTTTTAACACTTTTGTAATTCGTTAAATATTCTGTTTAAATTTTAAATAAGCTTTTCGGTTTCTTTTTCTTTTTCTTTTTTGAAGAATAATTCGCTTTTTATACTGTGAATTTTATACGTGATTTATAGTTTAATGCTGATAAAATCAATTTAAAAATAAAACTAACAGTGTTATCCCATATATAATAATAAATTTGTTATATTTTTTGTGTGTTTCCAGCATAACTTTACTAATTTAATTCTCATAAGAAAAATTAATCTTTCCTTACAGATGATTCATGACAAAATATCAACATCGACGATATTAGAAATAGTTACAACGGCAAAATTCCTTCGTTGCTTGTATGTACGACGTAATGCGGTTTTAAAAAGATGTGATGGAGATTGGTTAAAAATATCATGCTGGACACCGGAACATTATCAATGGATAAAGATGAATAGCCGTAGTTATGATAATACGGAAAGAGAAGTATCAAAAATTTTAGGCTACAGATGGCATATGCTATCTGAAAAAGAATTCAAGAAACAAACAATTAATTTACACATTTAATTGATATATTTAGGATATAATAACATTATTTATATTCGTACATTATGTGGGTGATAAAAAAAAAGTAAGTAGAATCGAAACGCTGAAGTACAAATACTAATAATTATTCTTACTATAAAACCAAAAAAACATTTAATACTTTTCAATTATTTATATCGGTATAATTTTTTGCTTAAGGACTGTTCTCATCTTTTTGGCATGAAAGCAAAAATAGATATATTATTTATATATTCTCCAAAAAGTATTTGTTATAGAATATAAAGAAAGGACTGCTTTAAATATATAAAAATAAAGTCTAAAATAATGTGTAATAATAATTTCATGCAATCCAAGATACTACTTTTATTTATATCCTTAAATTTTTGTTTTTATGATCATCGTTACAACATAATTACTATGTACAATGAATATAAATACTTCATATAACGTTATAATAATTATACACGATTATTTAGACAAATTGAATAGTAACTATTAAATTAACAATTATGTAAATATTTAGTTCTATTTCTCAGTTCTTTCATTAAAATATTTTAACTGTGCTATAAAGTTAAAACACATTGCATCTAATGATATAAAATATGCTTTAAATTTTTACAAATATAAGCATTTTAAAATTTAATTAAAAAATTAATCAAACTGTAATGATATTTTATTTTTTTTTTTTTTTTTTTACTTACAATTAGAAAAACTTCTAATCGCTACTAATATATCTGAAATTTTATGAATATAGATTTGTTGTTGTATATACAGAATATCAATTATATAAAGTAATCAATTTTCTAATTTCTTTTTCTTTTATGAAACGTCTTTATACTTTGCATAATTTTTTGTGAACAATTTAAAATTTAATAATTTATTTAGTTTGACATGATAAACCTTCATATATAATGAAGAAAGAAAAACGTTAAATAATGATCGATACTGTTGATTAAATACAGTAAATAAAAAACCTTACTTTATTGAATGAAAGAAATTTTAGAAATAGAAAAAATTAAATATGTGGAAGTTACGGTGCCATGGCTGCAGATCGTTTATCTCTAGTTTTATTGCGTAGAATGGTACGCGCCTTGAAAGCAGCAGCATTCATTAAAGTCTGAAAAAATAATGCGATATTGTTCACAATAAAATGAATAATATATTACAATCGTAATAATATTTTCCTTTAAAGGTATACTTACTCTCTCTAATTTGGTTGTTTTTTGAGATGGTATAGGCAACACTTTATTACCCAGATCGAAAATTTCACGCAATAATTGATTTTCAGCTAGATGGATGTTTATACCAGGGCCAAGTAATCGACAGCAAGCATTGTATTGAGTACGAGTACACCAGCCTTCTAAATATAACGTTTCTTGTCCAAATCTAACATGCATTTCTGGAACAATATCTTCCTGAAAAATTGAAAAACATTTCACAATTAAGTTTATAACTTTTCAATTTATTCTTTTATCGATAAGTATAGATAGAAAATGTTAACAAAATGTTTACCTCAATATACCGTAATATATCTCGGAAATTAGCTCTCTGCTGTTTACGATCTTTCTTTGCTCTATATTTATTAGAATCAGTAGCTAATTCCTTAAGTTCATCGATAAGACTGTCTGCCCACTTTTGTTCATAATCGTAAGAAAACTCACGACCAAGTTCGAATATAACAGCAAGAGCTTCACCTGCAGATAACCTTACGTCAAGATGAGGTGATGTCAATAATTCACGTAGTCTATTAAGAGAGCTATAATTTCGTAAATTTTTATTATTATTAAATTAAACAGATTAGATAAAAAATATATGTATATATACGCATATTTATTTCATACTAACGGCATGTAAGTATTGCTTTTATCGCTGGCAAGAAGATTATATATATCTGCTGGGTTCATGACAGTTAAGAGAAGAGTCCATGATGAAATTGCAGCTGCATGAAGTGCTGCTACATCTGCAGAAACTGTTGCTATTGTACCATTTCCTTTTAAATATGAGCCAGAAAAGATGCCGGATAATAATTGGACGATATCAAGTGTATCAGCTGCATCATTACCAGACAAAAATTGATTCATGCTTAATGCCCAACAACACTAAAAGGATAATAATATTAAATATAGCAATATAACTTAAATAAACATTAATAATTAATACAACAATAAATCTTGAATATTGTTTTACTTCAGAACGTGCAACTGTAGATGCTGCAGTATCATTGGCAACAAAAATTAATGTAGATTTCAAATCTCTACAAATCGCCTCAGCACTTTCAAAAATTCCAAGTTGAACGCAAAGTAAAGTACTCAATCTAGCTGCTGTCAACTGTTCTTCAGATCTCCCCTTTTTTAAACTTCGTTCAATAGAATCGGAAATGGTAATCTTTCTATCCTCTATGAAGTCTGGAACGTATTTAATAGCAAAGATCTTTTCAATTCCCTTGAAGCAAATAATTCTGCCCTTAGCACTCCTTTGTGTTAGACCATCGATAGCTTCTTTCAATTTTTCCTCAAACGTTTCTTGTTGCGCAATTTCATCAACCTCATTATCATTTACATCTTCGGGCATGCTGCGATTATCCGATTGACCACTAGAGACACTGCACGCATCATTGTTGATCGAATCCTCATCAGATGCTATTTCAACTTTTTTTCCACCGTGCCCTTTAAAATAAATTCATTGATATTATTTATAAAACTATAACAGAGGAACAAACATATTCTAAAAATTAAGAATGACAAAGAAGAATATTTATTACTAATATATCTTTAAATCTACTCGTATATATTAACAGATTGTAATTGTTAAATCATTTATAGCTAATATGTGAAAGTGAATGGTACATTACACAATGTGTGAAACTGGAACAGCTGTTACAGTTGATCACACATGACATTAAACCGAATGCTTTATAAATTAAACGTCATTTAATTTTTTATATCTATTAATAACATATTTTTTTAAAGTTCAATATTTTACACGTAAAGGAAACAATAAGAATAAAGTCAAATACAAAGAGTAAGAAAGGAAACAATCAAATAAAAATAATCGTCTAGAAAGGAAATACATTTTTCATTAAGATTGCACAAGTTTGCGAAATCTTATAAGAAGACTATATAAACAAAATATCCTAATAATTATAATAAAATGAAATAAAAGAAAATAAGAAAGATACAGTAATGTTTCGTAATGTTAGGTTCCTAATTAATTAGAAAAAAAAAAAAAAGTAAAAAAGACAAAAGGTACGATTAGAAAAGCATGATCACATATTGTGAAACACTTATATGTTAATTAATTATTATTACGTTATATATAAATATAAGAAATAAAATAATATATATTACTATATTTTATCGTAATATTAAAATAATAAAGTAAAATAAATGAGTAATCTTGATAAAATAAACGATAGATCGATGAAAATGGTAAGAAATAAAATTACATCTAGAACCATGTGGAAAAAGCATGAAAGTCACATGGAGATTGCGGAAGGAAAGTAATCATATGGTTATCGATAACAATACTTCATAACTAGACAAATATTATGGTATTAGGATTTGAACGTTCATACGTATATATAAGTAGGTAACACGTAGTAAAAAAAAGGATTTTAATCGAGCATGTGTGTGTAAATTGTGACGTAAGAAGAAGTAAATAAGTTCTTTACCAAGGATGAATCATTCGAGAAGAAGAACGATTAATCGATAATTGTAAGATGTTCGGGGTATCACGTGTCGCATCGTAACTTTAAATCTTACAATATATCGATATTTAAATAATAAATTGATCATAATGAAATATATTTTGAATTAATTTAGGCGTTATATAAAGAAAATTACAATTAATATTTTATTGTTCTTCTTACCGGATTTTCCTCTTCTCCCTCCTTTGCCTGGCATCGTTCTCCACTTTTCTTCCTTCACAATTTATACTAAAAAATATACTTGATCAAGAGGGTAAATGTCTGGCACTAGTTATTTTCTTTCGTATACTGAATCCACTGTACGAATTTTTAATAAGAATTTGACAAAAACTCATTAACATGTTGCGGACTGTTTAAAACATACACGAGAACAGCCTTCGACGGGCCTTCTCAAGTGCACTGCCTTTACGAACAACCGAACATACCCGAAACTTATCGAAGCTTTCTTTGTATACGCATGCGCACCCGACAAATTTTTCCTTAATATCATAATTAAATTTTCGACTAACCAATCAAATGTCCGGATGTTTTTATCGCAATAGAAATTACGGCGCAATATTGTGCATCTCGCGCATCATAATTATCATTTGTTCTTTTGATTTGATATTGTTTAATGTTAAAGAAACTAGAGAAAAAAGAATTCCATTAATTAGAATAACAAATAAGGTATATATTTTTATTTAAACGAATATATAAAACTTTATTTTATTTATATTACATTATTTTTTAGCAACATTATATTTATATTAACCATGATACTAAAGATACATGGAAATATATATATATGCTGATGCACATTTATATCAATACATATAAACGTGTCCTAATAATAATATACTTAATTGTTATTAATGTATAATATTAAAATGTCAATTAATTTATGAAATAATATTTATTGCAATAATTATTTTGTTTTACAGTAGTCAGTCTATTTACTTCAATATAAATATTTCTTATCTTTTCTTAAATCAAAAGTACATTAATTAATCTTTATATTTCATAGAGTTCAGGTTCATATTTATCTGTTTATATATTAAATTTATCAAAGTATCATTTAAAAATATACATTTTAACACACTAAGTAAATTATTGCTACAATTACAAATAACAAGTAATCATTATTAAATTATTGCATTACATTCAAATGATAAATAAGTAAATGTTAATAAGAAAATAAACATTTTATTCAAACAATTTGTTTTATGTAAAAACAGAAATACAGAAAGTAGAAACTTTGTCGTTGTTTATACATTTCTTCAATGATTATTAAGTTTCACTGATACTTATATGAGTAATTATAGAATAACTTTGTTCTTATAAGAATTAGGCAATTTCGTTGTCGTAAGACAACTTAGGTACTCAAGATAAGTTTATCTTAATCTTTCTGCCATTAATCGATATACAAAGAAAAAAGAAATAAAATAATGAATATTATTTTCAATAAAAAATTAATCATATTTTTGTATTTTATAATTACTTTAGTATAGAATTCTTATGTAGTACTTTTATATAATTAAAATTATATTGATTTCGAATATTGTTCCAATCAAGAAGACTTTACACACCGCTAAAGTTTTGATTTAACTTGTTATGTCAAAACTATATGGTGCATAAATTGTAATAAAAAAGTAACAATGATCATCAACGAAATAGGTGTAGCAATCGTAGAAGAACTTTTGGTTTCTTCTCTGGTAACAGCAGCACTTCGTACTTTAACTAATAATCTTTCGCAAGGTGTTACTTTCCTTATGAATCTAAATATAGATTCCATTATATTTGCAGGCGTTGGATCAGAACATTTTTCTAATTCTCTAACAACACAATCTTGTAGGTTGTTCATATCCCTGATAAAAAATCATATAAATTTATTATGTTATATGTAAAATAAATATTTATGTAAGATCTAATATTGAAGCATATATTTACGTGCACTCTTTATCGTCAAATATTAAAGATGGTAAACTATTAAGTGTAGGCAATGCACCGGTTGTAGGATCAGTTGTAGGAATATAACTGCCAAATGTAGCATTGGCACAGTCTTGAATCTCCTGTTGCTTAGATTGGAAGCAGTCTGGTCCTCCCGCTGCTATGAAGACTGTATAAAACAAAAAACAAAACATCAATTGACATTATAATATACATTTATTAATATTGAAACAATTTTATGCATATATAAAAACAAAATACATACGAGCAATTCTATCTCCTTCTTTATAACAAACAAAGTTGAGGATAGATTCGGTGATATTCAGAACGATCTTTTTATTCTCGCGTTCTTTCTCTTCCAGACAGGGCTCAATGGCAGTAGTAAAGTTATTTACACAATTTTTAAAAATAGGACTTCTACGACAATATTTTTTAAAAACTTCGTCCAATTCGCCCTTAGGTTTAGCGCTTTCCATCTCCGCGTTTAACTCAGTCATGTTGATGAGCGATTTAAGACACTGTTCCATTTCTGATTGTGCACGTTTAGCATTCTGAAACGCGTTAGGTCCACCATTCTTTTGACATTTTTGTTCGAAAAGATTTGTTGTCTCTTGGATACTCGGAAATGCAGAAATATTTAAATTATTTATTTCAGGATGATTTACAAGATTGGACGCTTGCTGAAGTACATCTTCGGCGGATGGTAAATTTTCCTGTGTCTTGCCATATCCAAGAAAACCTGTAATAAATCATTGATCATGTTCTTTTCTTTTTTTTTTTTAATTCGTTTCTTGTTTCTTTTCTTTATTTTGATGTTACATAATGATAAGAAGAATATCTTTAACTGTAAAAGCATGCATGTTTTTTTTTTGCATTCGGATAAGATCTGTAATTAATCAAATTCCTAAAAACGTGTTTTGCATAGCATAATTATCTGTACGTAATTATAATTTAACTTTTCTATTTATTAAAAATGATAATAGTTCATTTTAACAATTTTAATCTCATTAATAAGATTATCATAACAAAGATATGTGTGTAGATGTGCTATACTGTCTAACACGCATACATGTAGACACGTGTACATGACGTATACCATAATTATAGAGACAAACGTATAATATAATGTGATCTATGGACTTTGAAACTAATTCTTCGTTTATTTTTCTTTGGAGGAAACAAGAAACATTTCTATCGCTCATTTATAAAACATTACGAACAAAAATATAATGATTTTTTTTTTTTTTATTTCTCTATAAAAACAACGAATGTCTTCATGAACATATGTAATATAATTTTGTATGAAATTAAAAGAACAAATAATTAATATAATTAAAAAATAATGATGCCTCTCGTTAAAAATAAATATTATTACAAATTGATAACTACAAATACAATAATAATAATGATAACAATATATTTGATTAGATTACAGTAAAATTTATATCAGTGGACTGTTTTATGTCTTTTCATGGCTAATATAAATGAAATTTTCTGTAAAAAGCATATTTCTTTAATTTACGTCAGCATAAACAAATTGAATAATGAAATTAACTTTCATTCGTATATAACAAAAAGGCATTAAACACTTTTGGCGATTCTTTTAATCTCATAAACGAATTTAAAGCTTCTTGACATAATCAAAATATTCGATAATAACGCAAAAGTTTGCTAAGTCGATTAATTGCATTTTAAATTATCGATAAATAAACTATCGATATATATATAACGAATGTATATTATTAAAGTAGAAAACAAACAAATAAACTAATCGAATATTTCGATTATATAACTACGCTAATCAATATAATTTCTTCATTATAAATTCAAAACTTTTAATCTAACTTCAGATTACGATTTTCTTTGTCTTTTTTTTTTTTTTTGATAAGTACAATGTCCATTACACAAAGTATAACGCTTTAAATAAAATAAAAAAAAAAATGAAGAGTATTAAAATAAAGAAAATATAAATCAAAATAAATGTTTATACGTATTTTGTACTTACCAAACAGAATACAGAGAACAGGAATAACAGCGGAATATCCCATTGTAATTTTTGTAAGAAAAGAATGAGTGATATTTCACACAAAAAAAAAAACAAAAGAAAGTTGTTACAAATCTGCACGTATTTATGTATGTGTTTTCCTTTACTTAGAAGGTTTTTAAATGAAGTTTCACATACGACGAGCCACAGTTAAGATTTGGTAATTCAAAAACAAACCTTCACCTATGCACTTTAGTATTTTGTTTATGAACAAATAGACAAAGATAGAGAGAAAGAGAGAGAGAGAGAGAGAAGGAATAGAAAAGAGAACCTAACCACGCTGACGTTTAGTATGCACTGTACGCTGAGAATTAAATACGTTGCGTTGCTCTCATATCTTTTTCCCTCAATCAAGTTTTTTTCTTTCCTTAGGATTTTTTTTGTTTTATGTTTATAAAATATGTCGCTTGTGTGACGACCGAGATTGAACCATGGCCGATGAAAAAGAAATAAGAAGAAGTGCGATACGCGCATCCGAAAAGGTCATGAGAGTTCGATTAAAAACCAACGAGACAGACAAAGATAGAAGAAAATAATAGGTTATGTTTGTTGCGCTGCGTGTATGCGTATGTGTATTTATGTTAAATAGATCAGTGTGTACGGTGATCCACCATGGAAGGGGAAATGGCCGTGTGATTGGTTGGAAAAGAGAGAGGTAGAAACAAAGAGAAAGATAATTGGAAGAAAATTACCGCCAAAATTCAAATTGTCACGGCCACCGCGCTTTACCTTGACAAATAAGATTAATTACGAATAGTTATTTCAGAGCGTATTTCTTATATAGGTTTTCTTTTTTCTGGGTTTTCCCCTACTCTAAGAATCCTGTTTCCCTCTCTTCTATTAACAATTTGCATTTTTTTTGTCTTGCTTCCTTTATTTTTTCTTTCATCATTGACTTTTGTATTTTCTTAAAGTGTTTGTCACCAGCTCGACCAGATTCCTTTTACTACACACACACAAGTATTAGTATATTTAAATATATACATTTTTATTATCCTTAACACATTATGACGTCTCGATGGCTCCACGTTGGTGCCATGCGAAAACTATCGGGTAAGTGCCGGTGGCTCCACGTTGGTGCCATGCATAATGTTAATAATGGAGAAAAAGGAAAAGGAGGTTTTCTTATGTCTTACGTTTTCTTATGGTTATCTTATGGTTATCTTATGGTTACGATTATATTATTACGAAAATCTTATGTTAAGCGAATTTATGTGAGATTAAATATATGTATATATCACACTTTCATCTTCAATTAATAATTAATCATTGCGCCCATCATCCTGACAAACTAACTAAATAAAATATATATTATATCATCATAATCATCTCTTTCTCCTTTATATAATATAACTACGAAGGAATTGATTTTTTATGCAATTGAACATGAAGATAAAATTGTAAAAAAAATACTTCGTATAAATAAATTCATAGGTAATTTTGACAAATTTTGCCTAGAATAGAAAAATCCTAGGTAGTATAGTGGTTAGTATCCCCGCCTGTCACGCGGGAGACCGGGGTTCGATTCCCCGCCTGGGAGTTTTTTTTGCATTTTCTGCTTTTATATTTTTTATATTTTTACAAACAATTATTTTTTACAATATTAATAACGTAATAAAAGTCTTTTAACCAATTGCGCTACGATTTAACTTATTAGCGGACGTGATGACGCATTGTTTTTGTTTCTGCAACAAATACCTATCGACGTGGTATACACGTTGCTGTTGTTTTTGAGACAAAAGCATCTCGACATACGTGGCACGTCTGTTTTTAGCACAAGTGTTTAATTATACTTTTCAAGTATATATAACAATTGTAAATTTAGGTTAATATTTTGGCTGATATGCTTTTAGCAAGCAGTGTCATACAAGCATCGGTGGTTCAGTGGTAGAATGCTCGCCTGCCACGCGGGCGGCCCGGGTTCGATTCCCGGCCGATGCAATTTATCTTTTTTTTTTATTTTTTAATAATATTTTGTTAGTTCAATCAATGTGAATATTTGTTTATAACACTGTTAGAATATTAATTTTATTTGTTCATGAATATACACAATTTAATTAATATTTGTTCGCATAGGGGTAACTCTAAAAAGATATGAAAATAAAAGCTGAAATATAAATTTTAGGATTTGAAATGAATGTACACGTGTATATATGTCATTAGATTGGTCCCTGCAACCAACTTTGTCAAACATTGAGAGAAGAGGATATAACGTGGAGAACTTTGATAATCGAAATTATATATACATCTAAATATATATATGCATATCGTGTTGTTACAAACGATCCTTATATAATCATAGTTTCACAGCACTCGTATATAATAGTAATGATCGATAATAGTTATTTCCATGAAAAATTGTAATAACATGGTTTGAATTATTTCCGTGCTATTTCACCCTAAAATTTGTATCACATTCGTCAAAATAATTCTAATCAAACAGAAGCTCGTGTGCGTGAGATGCTTTAATTTATTTTTAGATAAATAATAATAATAATAATAATAATAATATAGAATTTATTTTTTAAAGCTTGTAAGCATTACGTATCATTAAATCGAAATACGCGTCATAATCGATACTCGCACTTATCGCACTATAATAATTCATAAATTCCTCTAAAGTCACCTGAGAATAGAAAAATAAGGATAATAAATGAACGAATTAATTAATTAAATGGGATTGGCAAGGTATACACTGTGGATAATTACGTATACGAATAAAACTTACTATTCCGTCCTTCGTTGCATTTTGTTCGAAATTACCGAGAAACTTATTAAGAATACTTTCCTCGCTTTCTTCGCCACTTATGTAACGTGGATGACATTTTACATTGTACACTCCTTTTAAATCATCTATTGTAATTTCACCGTCACCGGTTTTATCCAATTTTTGAAATGCCTGTTCAACTACTTTTTTACGGCTCTGAGACATCGTAGGCTATGAAACCGAGTTACATAAATTTATGCATAATCCAATTGAATTATTCAAATATAGTTTACATTAGTTTAATTTTAATATTTAATGATATAAACTTACTCTTATGGCGTAGATGAACTCATCGACGCTGAGATTTCCATTTCCGTCGGTATCGAATTTTTGAAATATCTCATTTATCTCTTCGTCCGATATATCCAAGCCACTTTCTTTCAAACCTTTAGTGAATTCCTCCAAATTTAATTGCTTGTTACCGTCGTCGTCCATACGACGAAATATTCTAAAAAAAGGAATGAGAAATCATTGAAGAAACGTCGAATATCTTTCTTTTTTTATTCAAATGCTAATTCGAAATTTATTTTTATGATTCGATCGATGGATTCGAGGAAAATAGTTGTACAAAACGGTTTAGATTACAGATTTTACAGTGATAAACACTCCTAGGGATAATATATAGAGATAAACATTTTTATTATATTAGATATATCCTAAAAGAAAAAGCTTTCAATAAAATTTTATTTTCAAATGGCAATATCATTATTTATACGACAATTAAGAAAAAAATAGTCTCGATAAAACAATCCTTGAGAATTGTTGAACAACGACGTACATATGAATCATTTTAATTAGCTCGAACGAACAACAACAAAATATATATATAAAAAAAAAGAAACGAGTGATTCATCATCCGACATTGAAAGATTGAATAAAAAAATCTTGCGTGTGTTATTGCAATTTATGATTATTTTTCCTCGTCGAATTTGATATAATTCTATTGAAAACTCTAAGAAAATTGTTTTGTTAGTTAATGAGAAATCATTGAAGAAGAAGAAGAAAATGTGTAAGGAAATTAAATGAAATGTCACTTACCTGCCAAGCCCGAGGATGCCATTGGCACCTCTGGCCAAGCAGAGTAAACGTAATTTTTCAATGGAATCCGTGGTTGTATGTATGGCTCTCTGGGCCTTATTGATCATTTCAGTCTCCTGCCTCGTAGTTGCACTCTGAGGTCTGTTGAACATATCTGGAAGAAGAGATGGAAAGGACGATCACGTGAATCTTAATGACTCACCATGAAATAATGACAGAAACACCAAAAGTATGATACGGTAACAAAAGAGAAAGTATACATTTGTTTCGGATCTAAATCGAGCCTTCAAAGGATTTTTATTATCATTCTTTTTTTTCCTTTTTTTTCTCTTCGAGTGTTACGTATACTCTTTCTATATATATATATATATATATATATATATATGTTTAACATCGACGTATGGTTATCTCTTTGCGTGATAAAAGTAACGATCGATAAGTATCCTTTCATTTATTTGTTCAGATAAGAAACTGAATTTGAAACTGTACTTTATTTGATAATAGATAGAATAATTAATATAAATAAAAATAAAGGAAGAGGAAGGAAAGTAAATTGATATTTGTTGTTATCAAATTATATGAATTTTGATGAGAGAACATAAATGTGTCGAAAGAGATCTATAATTATTTAGAATAAAACTCATTCACGGGGTGATATGAAGAAGAAATTAAAAATAATTATTCAATAGTATGAATTGTGAGTCGTTTATTTTGAAATTGGCATAAGTCACTTTTTTTTTTTTTAATTGAAAATGAAAAGATACCGTTCAGTTGTAATTAGTGTTGCCATTAACTCGGTTGTTTTTGAAAAAGTGACTTATGCCACTTTCAAAATAAACGGTTCAATTATAAATTGAGAATCGATCGGGGTAATATTTAGTCATACAAATACTTGTTAAATAAATTACAATATATTTTCGTTTCTTTTTAAATAGCCCTGTTTTTTTTTTTAGGTAGATCCAGAGAAAAAAACACACACAAATTGCATAAAGAAAATACACGCGTTCGACCCGAAGAAAGAACTGCCGGGGTTAAACTAGTTAAACACAGCAGATAGTAGGAAATGGTTTCTTAAATATTTAACAAACGGTCAATGCCGAATGCCTTGTATTGTTACAAGGGTAGCTAGCTTTCTATAGAAGACATATGTCTGACATATGGTATACATAATCAATGTTGCTTTGTTTTTTTTGTTTATTATTTCATCAATCAACGATCGGTGAAGTTGGACTCACCGAAATTTTCGAAAAACAATCTCGTCCACCGGCGAACGGAAGTTGTCTTCGTCTTCTGTTTATCGATCACTATAAAATGATCGCAATGATCAAGGCTTGGAAATAATCAAAAGGGATGATATAAAATATGGGTATAACTTCTCGGAAGAAGAACTAATGGCAAGTGACAATGTTCGAATTCATCGACACGTATAGTAGCATCCTATAGTTCAAACACACATATTGCGCGAAGTAGGCGCGCACGCAGAACCTTCTACATTCTCGCATGTTGCTTCTACTCGAAAAGGAGCTTTGTTTGACATGTGTGGTCTATAACTACTATGTGTGTACGTTTGCAGGTCTCTTTTGCCGATGGAAGACGTATCCATAACGACGGATATGTCACAACACGCATATTCGCATTAACAAAAAAAAAGGAAGAGAAAAATACAAATTTGTCGAATTTATATGTTAGAGGGTCATTAATCATTCGCATAGCGTTTCTTTATCTTTTCAACACTTTAAATTTGCTCTTTTAGTATCGTCTCTTTTTTTTTATTGTTTAAATAATCATTCTTTACGTGCTTTGCAGTATTTCTCTTTTTTTGTTTTCAATTATTTAATAAAATAATCATTTTTTTTTATTAGTGCGTTTGCTTTTTCGAATAAGCTTTTGAAACATGATTATAGACACACTTACGAGTTAATAAATGTATGTATTTAATTTATATCGCATATATCAATTTATGTGATATTGGAAATTATATAGATCATATATTAGTTATAATTAAATTAGATTAAACATAAGAATATAAAACGCATCGATTGCATTTTTATAAGATCTAATTATTATTTTTTACGATTTTAAATTGCAGTTATAATATCGACACATGATAAATAATATCAACAAGTTATCGACGATCAAATCGCTAAACTACCTTACCGATAGTTGTTAAATTTTTAACACATGTCGGTAATACAGATCAAGTAGTAAATTACCTTACCGACAGTTGTTAAAATTTAACACAAGTCGGTAATACAGATCGAGTAGTAAATTACCTTACCGATAGTTGTTAAATTTTTAATACATGTCGGTAATAGAGAGAATATTTTTCACTTTTCAATATAATATTCCAAATTTTATTGTCTTAACACAAATTCATTTCAGAGAACTGTTAAAAACATTTCAGAGATATATATTTTTAATCTTTTTAAATAATTCAACTACTTATTTATAGCTGAATATTCTCGAAATAAATATGTAATGACCACGTATTTTCGAGTGACGAATCAAAATACGCCATTTGTTAGAGTTGCTATGAGTTTCTCTGCGATTGGTCCTTTCGTGTTGCGTGGTCTCACACGATTGGTTCCAGATTATTTACTTTTTTTTGGTATAGCAGATGTTGAGTTGGATTCGTGACAGTCGGCGAAAAAGTGTTGTACGAAACGCTTATTAAATATTCGTTAAAACGTTATCGCTTTAACTAATATTTTAAGTGGAACTAACGTGATAGTTATGAGAAAATTATTCATATTTTTAACGGCCCTGGTACTTTTAGCAGGTAATTTTCATATTTATTAAAAATATACTTAATGATCCTTGCTACAAGATCTGTAATGTCAAACATTTTATATGTATTTTTTAAAGGGTTCGTTAAGGCTGAAGATAAAAAAGAAGATGAAGTTCCAACTGCAGAAAAAGATCTTGGATCTAGCCGTGAAGGATCTCGTACCGGTAAGACAATTATTTATATTTTATGCAGTCAAGTGAAGCATGTAATTCTGTCACTCATATGTCATTCTTGTCATTCTTGTCATTGCTTACACAAAAGAATGAATTAAAAATATATTCAAACAGACGTGTTTCCCCTATTAATTTATAAAATATATATCATTTTCAGATGATGAAGTTATTCAAAGAGATGAAGAACGTATTAAATTGGATGGATTAAATGTAGCTCAGATAAAGGAACTTCGTGCTAAGGCAGAGAAGTTTACATTCCAAACAGAAGTCAATCGTATGATGAAACTTATTATAAATTCGCTTTACCGGAATAAGGAGATCTTCCTCAGGGAATTAATATCTAACGCATCCGATGCCTTAGATAAAATCAGATTATTGTCCCTTACTGATAAAAATGTTTTAGACAGTAATTCCGAATTAGCTATTAGAATAAAAGCTGATAAGGAAAATAAAATCTTGAGTATAACAGACTCTGGTATAGCCATGACCAAATCCGATTTGATTAATAATCTTGGAACTATCGCTAAGTCTGGTACTGCTGAATTTTTGGGTAAAATGCAAGACGTTACAAATGCTCAAGATATGAATGATATGATTGGTCAATTCGGTGTTGGATTTTATTCAGCATTTTTGGTTGCAAACACGGTAGTTGTTACTACCAAACATAATGATGATAAACAATACATTTGGGAATCCGACAGTAGTAGTTACAGTATTATCGAAGATCCCAGAGGAGATACGCTTAACAGAGGAACAACGATAAGGTAAACATAAAAATAATTGTATGACTTTTATCAATTACTTTTAATATTACGTACATATAATATGCTTAACATTATTTTTGTGTGTTATCAGCTTACACATGAAAGACGAAGCATTGGATTTCTTGGAAGAAGATACCGTTAGGAATTTGATTAAGAAATACTCTCAATTTATAAACTTTCCCATCTATCTTTGGAGCAGCAAAGTTGTACAAGTAGACGAGGAAGAAGAATCTAAACCAGCTACAGAAGAAGAAAGCGAGAAAGATACAGAGGATAAATCTGAAGACGAAGAAGAGGAAGAGGAAGTTAAAGTAGAAGAATCATCAGAAGATGAGAAGAAAACCAAAAAGGTAGATAAAACTGTTTGGGATTGGGAACTTTTAAATGAGTCTAAACCAATTTGGACTTTGAAGCCGTCGGAAGTTGACGATAAGGAATACAATGATTTTTATAAAACTTTAACAAAAGATACGCAAGATCCTTTGGCAAAGATTCACTTTGTCGCGGAAGGTGAAGTAACTTTTAAGTCCCTTTTGTTTATACCTAGAGTTCAGCCTAGCGACAGCTTCAATAGATACGGTACGAAGGCAGATAATATTAAATTATATGTTAGACGCGTATTTATTACCGACAAATTCACCGACATGATGCCCAATTATTTGTCCTTCATACGCGGTATCGTAGATAGCGATGATTTGCCGCTTAACGTATCGCGTGAAAATTTGCAACAGCACAAATTAATTAAGGTCATTAAGAAAAAACTTATCAGAAAAGTTTTAGATATGATTAAGAAGATTTCTAAGGAAGAATATGAGAAATTCTGGAAGGAATATAGTACAAATATCAAATTAGGTGTTATCGAAGATTCTCAAAATCGTGCTAGATTATCTAAACTTTTACAATTCCATTCTTCAACTCAGAAAGGTACCACATCATTGGCGGATTATGTATCTCGCATGAAACCTAAGCAACAGCATATCTATTACATTGCTGGAGCTTCTGAAGCAGAAGTAGAGAAATCTCCATTTGTCGAACGTTTAAACAAAAAGGGATATGAAGTTTTATATTTAACAGAACCTGTCGATGAATACACTATTTCTGCTCTTCCTGATTTTGATGGAAAGAAATTCCAAAACGTTGCAAAGGAAGGTTTCCAATTAGACGAAGGTGAAAAGGCTAAAGAAATACAGGAACGATTGCAAACATCATTCGAACCTTTGCTCAAATGGTTAAATGATATTTTGAAAGATCATATCAGTAAAGCACAAGTCTCAGAACGTTTGACAGATTCACCTTGTGCTCTTGTCGCTAGTATGTTTGGATGGACAGGTAATATGGAAAGATTAGCAATTTCTAATGCACATCAAAAGTCTGATGATCCGCAGAAAACTTATTATTTAAATCAAAAGAAAACTTTGGAAATCAATCCAAGGCATCCTCTAATTAGGGAATTGCTACGTAGAACTCAGGTTGATCCATCCGATCAAACTGCGAAAGACATAGCTATTATGATGTTCAGAACAGCAACTCTTCGTTCAGGATATATGCTTAAAGAAACTGCTAGCTTCGCAGATAGTGTAGAGCAGCTTATGAGGAAAACGTTAGGAATTTCTCTAGATGAAATACCAGAAGAAGAAGAAATTCAAGAAGAAGAATCTACTGGCTCTTCCGCAGAGACGGGACAAGTAACAGAAGTTGATGCGGAGGAGGACAAAGAAGAGGAAGAGGGACACGATGAGCTCTAAAAAAGTGCACCCGTGTATAATACAAAAGACTTATTCTTGTTTTTCAGCTATACAATGTATAGCGATATATTGTGCACTCTATTGCCATTGCAAATGTTATTGCAAACTTACAAATCATTCAGAACATACTAATATCATTATGTTAAAAATGTAAAAATGTGAATTTCTTTTTATTGTTTATTGTTTATTGCATTGTAAACATTTCTACAAGGATAGGTAGGTATGTTTAACAAAAAATGATGATAATGATAGTTATGCATCTATTGTGCTCATCGAAGAAACAACATTTTATACTACCAATTACATAATTCAGTTTTATAGAGAAAAAGGAGAGATAATCTATTTGGATAAAAAAAAACTTGAAAACTTGAAATATCTATTTACTTATTGTTAGTTTGATCTTCCATTTATTTGTATCATTGTATACAAGAAAAAAAGGCGGCATTGACTGAATATTATTAGTACGGTATGCATGTGAACATGTGCGTTTGTCTCTATGTATGATCTATATATTGAACAAGAAAAAAAATTTAATAATAGAATTAAATATTTTGTTTATTTTTCTCACATTTCTACAATATATATATATATATAATATTTCGCAATTAATATTATAAAATTGAAAAAAAGAAAATACAATTGAATGTTCGTATTATAATTAAAAAAAGAAATCAAATGAAAATATGTAAAAAAATAAATAAGAAAAAGAGAGAAATGAAAAATCAGTTTGTTGAATAAAAAAATAATACAATAATAATGAAATTATCGAAAATAAATTGGCAATGCAAAATTGAATGTAAAGAATGCGATGGGAAAAAAGAAAAAAAAAAAAGAATTTTCAAATGATATCAAATACAGACTTCCGGGCGCCATCTTTGGCTCGATTCGGAGGACCAATAGAATTCGAGTATTCTCATGGAATCGAGAAGTAAAGCGTAAGACATAGGAGCGCGGTCAAGTGCTCATTTCCGTTTTCGAATCCTACGTCAGCTACTCCGAAAGCCCGTGTGTTTTGTGTTTCTTTGGGGCCATGATGATTCTCGCTAATTTAACGTAAGTACTTTTTTAAACTTAATGTAAAACTTAAAGAGTAATCTCGTATAAACAAGGTTATTTAGCGCGGTCTCGTTGGTAAGCGTAAATTGGTCACGAATCCGCGCGAATGCCTTGCATTTGTTTCAAGTATTAGTTTGATATTAAAAGGATATATCCTTTTCCTCTTTCGCCATGCCGGTTTATGGGATCCTTCTTTTTTTTTTTTTTACATTCAACACGCTCCTAAGACAATGGGAATCGTCGAATGCTAGGAAATTTGTTCATCCCAATTTTATGTTTATCCGTCATGATAAAAAATCAATTTGTTTCTTTGACACTTTCTATTAGTGGTATAAACAAAGTAAATGGCGTCGACATATTTCTTTATTAATTCTGACTAAATTTCTCTTCTCGAGAGTTCTAGAATAAAGAAGCCAACGTGCACTTTTTTTCTTCTCATTACTTATTTTTTATTCTTTTAAACACGTTGAAAGAGACACGCGTCGTCCGACAGACCGTTTCAATCACTAGACGTTTATTAATGTCATCGCAATTATGTTAATAATGTTTTATCAATTTACCTACGTTAACAACAAATTCTTCTGCTTTTTAACCTGTCAGATATAATTAATGTTTAATTAATTTCGAATTTGTAGTACGTATATATTATCTATTAATAAGAATAAATGTTTAATAATTTTTTTATTTATTTGTATATATACATATATTTTGTATGTGTGTGCGTGTATATATATATAAATGATTGAAGATGATGTCACATCAAATCAAATTTAAATAATTGATTAAAGAAATCTTTTGTTCTGTTGCAGGTTCAAACTGTTGAATTTGAAACTACACTTCTTGAGATCATAAAATAATTAAATAAAAATATACAAAAAATTCAATTTAAATTTGAACAGCTATTATTCTAATAAAA